TGTGACACAGACCTTCCTTTGTGTTCCCTTCCCCTTCCCGTTGTGTCCCTTGGTAGGTTCCGCAGATAACACTTCAGGAAACACTTTTACCATCTTATTATAGTGTTTGTTACAATTCAAGGTTTTCAAGGGATGCCTCTCATTGCTTTATTTTCAGAACCGGATCATATTCACAGGTACTCTTTACTATTTACAGTATTTAAAATATTTTTACCGTGTCTTTCTCCTTTAAAAGGATCCGAAGTGGCTTACATTATTAAAAAGCAATATTTAAAAACTAAAAGCAGCAAGTACATAAATATTTAAAAGAATCAAACAAATACCACACTAAAAATAGTAAACAAAATCAACACCTAAACCAGTCTCAAAGCAACAAAGCAAAACAGTACATTAAGAAAAGCCTTCTGAACAGCCAATCACGGAAAGCCTGACTGAAGAGAAAGGTTTCACCTGCTTACGGAAGGACAGCAAAAATGGGGCCAGCCTAGACTCATGTGGGTGCAGGGGTGGGGGTGGGTGGGGACAGGGATAGGCAGCCCTGGGGGCAGCCAGGAGAGTCAGGCGGCAGCCCGGGAGACAGCCCAGCCTGCCCACATGCGAGTCGCTGGGACAGCCCCAGCCCCAGCCAGGGTAGCCAGGCCAGGCCTGAACAGCCAATCACGGAAAGCCTGACTGAAGAGAAAGGTTTCACCTGCTTACGGAAGGACAGCAAAAATGGGGCCAGCCTGGCCTTATGTGGGAGGAAGTTCCAAAGTCTGGGTGCCATGACAGAGAAGGCTCTTTCCTGTGTCCCCACCAGGCACCTCTGTGAAGGTGATGGGGACAAGAGGAAGGCCTCTCCCGATGATCTTAACACTTAAACAGGCTCATAAAGGGTGACACAGTCTTTGAGTTACTTGGAACCAAGCTGTTCAGGGCTTCATGGGTTAGAACCAGCAGTTTGAATTGTTCACTGATCAGCAGCTGGGTGGGTGGGGATGGTGTTTATGTGATCCCTGTAACCAGCCCAAGTCAGAAATCTGGCTGCTGCATTTTGGACCCACTGAAGATTCTGAAGACTTCAAAGCAGAAACCATTCCAGCTATTCAGCTGGGACATAACTAGCCTAGTGTCACCATGGCTAGATGAGACTTCTCAAGGAACCGGCGCGGCTAACTCCCTAGTTTTAACTGTGCAAATGCACTCCTGGCCACTGCTGAAACCTGGGCATCCAGCTGAACCTTCAAAAGACATGCTGGCTACCAGATTCACACAGATGAAAGGAACTGTGTGCAAAACAATTCTTTAATATGCTGGGGGAAGCACTTCTGTTTTGGGAGATAATTTATAAGAACATTGCATACATGGCAGCGGTGCTTCTAAGCAAGTAACTACATACAGTATTTCAGAAAGACGAGCAAAGGCTTTTTGGATGAAGAAAGAAACAGTTTAAAGTTTTGACGAAATATTACGCACCTTTGTTTTCTACCTTGCAATTTATATTTTAAGGAAAGCTTGAAAAGGAGATGTGACAATTATTTTTAAACCACCATCTGAACTTTTTCAATTCTATGGTTGTTGAATTACTAGTACCTGAAACTTTAGGAGCAACTCTGTTTGGAAATAAACAACTACAACAGCAAGTATAATTGAATATAGGGGCAGGTGTGTGCAGACTCACATGCAAGGTAAGAGTGGGCAGGATCCCATCAAAACTCTGATTGCATCTGGGTTTGCACCATCATAGAAGCTGTATGTGAGAACCACAGACAGCGCAAAGAAACCTATTTCCAGCAGATAAAGCTCAAACATTCCAAAGCAGTCTTTCAGTTCCGGATTGTGATATTCAACCTCCAACCTACTGATAGTTTGTTCCTTGAGACAGTTAGGCACAATGAAATGGAAAAAAGAACAGAATTAAACAATAAATGAAGCCAGACCCTAGGATAATTTGTGCCTTTTAAATATAGAAAGACTGCAGTCCTCAAACTCCTTCATAGCCACCAGTATCACTGAAGGCAGCAGGAATTCTCCCAAGCATGCAGTTGGAGGATGGCAGAGCAGTAATGACAATGGAAGCAATAACTATAATTCACAGAATCACATTTAATGCAAATTAGTTTAATGAGAATGTTGGTCTCACCAATTATCTTCCAGAAACTTCTTTTAGCTTGAAAATAATTTCCTTTTATACCATGAATACTAATAAATTATTGGACAATGCCTGTGAATGCTTTCAAATTTACAATCTGCCAGTTCATAATTCCAATCAAAGCAACTAGAATCAAAACAGCATGGTTTAAAAGTGTTCAATTAAATGTTTGTAAATAGAATATTTCTCTTTATTCTCTCCCTTAAAAGGTATTGCTATCGAAATTCAATAACATTGTAGGAAAGGCAAAGAGAAACTACATAGTAGGTCACCATGGATGCATTTAATTCCAGATATGAAGTAGCCGATATTAATCACTCATATTTTACTTTAATACTTAACACTCAGGGAAAGCAGGATGAAGCTACCTCCACTGTATCCTCACAAACCTGTGAAGTAGGTTATGTTGTATGTGAACAGCTCTAAATAATTAAATGAGTTTCACGGCTGGGTAGGAATTTGAATCCTAGGCCCCTTAGTCAAAACCTAGTCTAACCAACTAACTCACTCTCTCTATCAATTTGTCATAGTATGCTAGGCTTGTTTTCTGTAGCAATATTTTCATATACAAAGGTGAGCAAAATATTCTTGGATTATTGTTGTTGGAGGTCAAATAATGCAAGGTAGAGCATGGCATGTACTGATGCTAGGAACTGGAAAATGATGATAATTGGAGTGTTTAACAGTTGCTAGAGGAACAAGAGAAAGCTGCAGCACTAAATGCTTCAAGAAAGCTCAAGATAGGAACACCGACTAAAATACATCTTGTCAGGAATGGAAGTGGTAATTGCACAGAAA